TTGGCTGTGATTTTAGTTTTTTTAAGCAGAGGTTGAGTTCAATAATTTGTATGGACCTCGGAGGATGTTGTAAAAATTGAAAGGAAAAAGGTTCCCCTCCCTTGCTTTAAATAATAATAAAAACCCATGATTTATAACTTAACATCTCTGTCTCCTATTGATCTGAGTATATTACAAAGAATAGCCAGTTAATTGAAGCATTATAGCACAGGCCTTTGTCAGATGGCATATTACGCTGTTTTTTTTCTGCTTCGAATAGTTCTCTCTTTTTTCACCATACCTGTGTTTGCATAAAATATACCAGCTGTAATAATTTTTTTCTCAATGTTGTTGGTAATTTCTTCAACCAGTTAAATTACTGCTGAAGAAGTAGAGTAATTTTTCTGAAATCCATATTGGCCATAGTATATTAAATTTGCTGAGGAATGACTCCATAGGGTTGTTGAAGAGTTTTTCCCAAAATTGTGGTAGTAAAGAAAAGGGTCTATAGTTATTAAGACTTGATTTATCACCAGATTTGAAAACCGGAATCACCTTCTCGATTTTCATTTAATTGGGGAAAATACCTTGTTGGAACGATTTATTGCATATATTTACTAGGGGGGCTACAATGTTTGGTGCAACTTGTTTAACAATATTCATACTTATTCCTAAATAATCCTTGGACTGTTTACTGTGTTGAGTATTGACAATATCAAGCAGTTATTTATTTTCTGTTATTTGGTTCAAGAACATACTATGTTTGTTGCAATTTTTCAGGGAATCATCAACTTTACATGAAGTTGGACTGATTGTACTCGCCAGATTGGGGCCAATTTCAGTAAAGAACTCATATTTGCAACATCTGTTGGGGTTTTTCCTTCGATTTGGAATTTCTTAAATTCATTTCTGTTGTCATTTATTTTCTTCTTAATTATACTATTTATTACCTTCCAAGTGTTTTTCATATCTCCTATGGCATTTTCTAATTTTTCAGAGAAGTATCATTTTTCACAGTTTCTAAGTATTGTAGTCAAATTTGTTTTTATACAATTTATAACGACTTTCATCCTCAGTGCTTTTACTTTTCAAATATTTCCTGTAGAGTGCATTTTTCTTACAACAGGCGTTTTTCAGTCCATGAGTGAACCAGGGTTTTGAGTCATTATTATTCTTTTTGCAAATCTTAATTTATATATATGGACAACATTCGTTCATGTTTTGCATGAAAATCCTTACAAACTCATTATAGGATTTGTTTGCATCTTGAGTCTCAAATACTTCTTGCCATTTTTCATTTTTTAAGTTCATATTTAATGTATTTAGAGAAATGTCATTTAATTTCCGCTTCGTCATGTATGTCTTTTGTTATTTTTTATAAATCCACTATTTATTTAACTTTTCATGTTCAAAATGTATCATCTTATAGCTTAAACATCACAAGTGTGGATAAGAAATGTATGCAAAGCCAAACACTGACTAATTTACCATTTACATTTTGTTAAACCTAGCTCTCAGACAATGACATATTATCAACTGTCACTTATGATTTTAAAACTAAATCAATGAGTAGTATGTTAGGGTTTTAAAATGTTAATCAATACGACTATTATTTCCTTTTTTCTCCTTCATAATCTTGGCACATAAGTGACATACTCGGTATGGGAGGATCCCCTTCTAGGACCGCTCCCTGGTGCTAGCATCTCCAGTCGTGTCCTTACAGCACCTCTCTCCGTTAACCGGCCCTCTGACTTAAAGCTGGCTGCGACCTCTCTCCCTGCGGGGAGGAACAGGGATGATCAACTCGGCGACTTTCAATGGGGAACCCTAGATTACAAAGAATCTGGCTCTGATGGTCCAAGTTGCTTCTACTTCTAAAAGAGGATTGAATTACAGCAGCAAGGTCCTTGAGTGGTTTAGGAATACGTCTTAAAATCTGGAAATGAGTAAGCATATTGCCACTTCTGGAAAAATATGTCAATAAAATCCCCATTGGGAAATTTCCGAAGCTTCTATGTGGTTGCTAAAAAATGCCCATATGAGACTACTAAACGTCATCACACCAAACGTTAGCCGCTTTTAGCTTAGCGGTGGTGATGTGCAGCCGTGCGACCATGAACTAGTTAGTTTATAGCATCATTTTTACTTCTGCTGATTGCATTTACATGAAATTCCGTTAATATATGGATATTATCATGCTGAACAAAACGTGTATCATAAACCTGTGTTTGCAATATTTAAAAATACCTGACTGTCTGTCCTTGTTTCCTTTCCTCAGGGATATCTGAGTCCGAGCAGTCGCTGAAAGGGACGTCACAGATCAAGTCCCTTTGTCCTGAGGACATTGAAGGCATGAGGGTAGTGAGCAAGGTAACACTTTACTGTTGCTGTTCTTATGATGTTGCCATGGTGTGCATTGTTAGTTTTTTGTTTGATTTAACTATGTTATTTGCAGCTTGCACGAGAAGTTCTGGACATCTCTGCCTTGTTGGTGAAAGTGGGGGTTACTACAGAAGAAATCGACCATGCTGTACATCTGGTAAACCAAACACAAACGTTTTCTTGTCTTTCTATATCTGTAACTAACATGCCTTGTCTTTTCAGGCCTGCATAGCGAGGAACTGCTACCCCTCCCCTCTCAACTACTACAACTTCCCTAAATCCTCCTGTACATCTGTCAATGAAGTCATCTGCCATGGAATCCCGGACAGGAGACCCTTACAAGACGGAGATATCCTCAACGGTATGCCAATAATGTAACCAACAGCTGTTTCCTCATGATTGCTTCACTATCAGGAATCTGTTAGAATTAACAAAAGATAACTGATGTTGGACTTAAAATAACGAGTTTCTTGACCATCCTGAACATCTTTATATGAAAGATCTCATCAAACAAACAAACACTAATCTTTCCTTAAGTTTTTAAATGCCCACATTTTCTTACTTTTGTAACATTTTGTATAAGAAACAATGTCCTATCAACAGTAAAACTAAGTTAGGATGAAGGGAAATGTTTTATTAAAGAGAGTGGGGGGAAAAAAACGATTCCTCTGCCTTGACAAATGGTTGTACCAGCATCTTAAAATGGTAACAGCAGGAGTTTGGCCAATTTTAGCCTCTTTATGAATATTTCTGCGAAGGCGATGTCTTCCATCCGCCACTCCCCTCAGAGTGTCTGATGGAGCGCTGGCCAACAACTCATCTCTCGCTGCATGCGCCGACAAGACAAATTGTTTCATCAACCTTTAGCAGTGGGGATGTGCTTGTCAGATCCTCTGCTCTATATTTCAGTGGGAAGAGTCCCAGTTTGTCCTCTAGCAATTCAATTTCCATCAGTAATTTTGCCTTGCAAATAGAATGATGCAGGAATGAGTCCTAAAATCTGGAAATGATTTAGCATTTAACCACTTCCTGTTCCTCATCTCAAAAGTAGTGTGCTGGTAATCTTTTCTGTTTCCTGTAAACTGGGGACATGCTAACCATAACCTGCCGTAGGTAATAGAGTGGTGCAGGAATGAGTCCTGACACCAGGAATGTTACCACTTCCGATTACCTCGTCTCGAAGACAACGTGTTTTTGTATGTGTTTTGCTTAGATGCCGGAAATTATGTCTCTGGTTAACGCAAGCTTTTGTTCTATTAACATAAAATATGTTCATATATACCCCCCTTGTTAATGTCTGAAGCTTTTATATGTCGTAAATAGTAAATAAATTAAATAAATTAAATAACTAAACATCAATGGCCAAATATTAGATGCCTTTAGCTTAACGATCCAATAGAAAGATCCCAATACATCTGTCGAGGCAACACTTAACTAACTTCAGGGTCGGCCTAAAAAAAAATAGGTCTTCGCTGCACCACTCTATTGGTCGATGCCTTAACAAAAAAACATGGTCACCCATTCATACCATTACATCTCAGGTTATTCATGACAGTACTTTGTTTGTGTCAAACATAATGGAATCCAATTGGTCTTGTAACACAATGGCGCTCATTCTTACACAGTGGACATCACCGTCTACCACAACGGTTTCCATGGTGACCTCAATGAAACCTTCTATGTGGGCGAGGTGGAGGAAGAAGCGAAGAAACTGGTGCAGACCACGTATGAATGCCTTATGCAAGCCATCGACTCCGGTAGGAATTCCAGCTTTCTTATTTTTTAACCCATGTGTGCACAGAGAATACTGCTCCAACAGGGAGACGGAAGTAAACCCACCTTACTGCATTTGTATAGAGTCGTGCAGTCTGTGTGGAGTATAATAAGATGTCGGTATCAGCATATATGTCAAATAACAAGGTTGCGGTTCAGAACTGTACATATCTAAAAGGTGTCGCCCTTACATAGTTTGGCCACAAGAGAGCACTGATATGCCAGAAGAAGTTGAGATTTAAAGTTGTTTCTGAACTTTGAAACGGTATTTAACTGTTTGGGACCTGTCTCCAAGAGTCACAATTAACTTTTAATACCAACTTTTATAAAGTTTACATTGAACAAATTCAAGTAAAAGTTATTGGTCATCATAAATGTTGTTTTTCCAATTGGTACACTCATTACAAGTGTTAATTGTCAGCCTCAGAATTGTTTTAACTACAGTTACGTTTTGTTAGGCTACAGGAATAGTCAACACTTGTTGCAGCTCTGACAGCTGGACTTGAAAACTATCACAATTTCCCGACATTTTATATACCAAACAATTAGTCTAGAAATCTGCTGATGAATCAATAATCTAAATGTTTTTGGGTTTTATTGCATCCCTACCGATAACCCACATGCTAACCTTTTTTCACAGTGAAGCCTGGTATCCGCTACAGAGAATTAGGGAACATCATACAGAAGCACGCTCAAGCTAACGGCTTCTCTGTGGTGCGCAGCTACTGCGGCCACGGCATCCATAGACTTTTCCACACTGCTCCCAATGTGCCACATTATGCCAGTGAGTAGTCACACACCTGCCATCGTACATGTTTTAAATGTATAAAGGTTTTTTTTGTTGCTTGCTCTCGTACAAAAGAATGATTTATTTATTCAATGTTTCCCAGAAAACAAAGCAGTGGGAGTTATGAAGCCTGGCCACGTGTTCACCATTGAACCCATGATATGTGAAGGTGAGTGGTACTGCCTTTGTTTGAGTAATGTGAACAATTATGATAATTGTAACGTCACAATGTGCTCAATTGTAGCAATTATTTGAAACAAATATTGAAGAATAAAGGGTAAACATAAACACGCTGTCCTCCAGAAAACCCGATATGTAGGCTTTCATAAGCAGGGAAAATGATTTCAGCTTTGTCACAATGCATTTTACACATACATTATAAGGGTTTTATATGGTCTACTTGTCTTTAGAATGGTAGTGAAATGAACCTTTCATTCTTCAGGTTGTATGAATTTTGAGACACATTTTTTAGGATAGACATATAACAGTCTCATGGCAAGTTAGTTGGTAAAACAGACTAATCTAAATTTCTTATAATCACAATACTTTAATTATACTGTTTTCTTGCTCCATTTTAGAATTCTTTTTTTATTAAAATCAAATATATTTATATAATCACAAGAAGGTAGAGAAAAAATTTGCCATGAGTTGAAATGGAATGATCATAGGAAGATGAGTAGAAATGTGCACATTATTCTACAATATTTAACTAATAAG